ATCTATCTATCTATCTATCTATGTGTGTGTGTGTGTGTGTGTATGTGCGTGTGTGTGTGAATTAAACTCAGGACTTAATGATAACTACCTTAATAAAGCAAAACACCAATTACGAAGTAAAAGAATTTGGCAATTTTTTAAGTTTATAACTTAAAAGCGGTTTCCCCTACAAGCAGGACGCAAGTTCAAACCAAACCGGAAGGCGTATCATCTTTATTACAAATCTCGAATTCACAGGCCGGTAGACGTGAATAACATGAGTGGAAATAGAAAAATTAGGCGTAGCTGACCACATATGGAGGGAAAAGGGAGATAACCGTTCCTTGTGGGATGAGATTGAAATAATAGACAGAGAGCATCACGGGTAAATATGAAAACTGAAGGAATCAGCGCATATGTTATGAGTTCATTACTTGGCTACTGTCCTATCCTGGGAGTAAATTCGCAAAAAGTCCAGATAAATGTGAATTTCTTAGCCAGGTATTGAACTCACAACTCTTTCGTCAAATTACTGGATCCAACCAACGCTTTTATCCACGGGGTCATGTGTGCTGACTTGACTTAAAACGTGAGTTTAATACAAGGCTACAGCAGTGATGAACAAAAACTTGGAGAGTCGAATTAAAGGATGATAACTGAGACATCCGGAAGAGGCGTGGCACGTGGAACTAGTACAATCTACCCCAATGGACGAAATAAAGGGTTCAGTTCGAAATTCCAATCGCCTGAAGAAAGCCGGAGAGTACAACTGCTGAAACGTCGTGAATACAGCAATAAAGATGAGGACAGTAGTCCGAACAATCTAAATAATGTAAGTGGTTACAATACCTCATCTTAGAAATATAGACAAAATAGATACTCACAAACTGCAACAGGAACAAATTTTACTTACCTGCAAAATAAAAACGAAAATTATATAGATATATACATATACAAATATATGAATACAGATAAAATGTAGATCAGATATGGATTAGAATTTGACAGAATGATAGGAAAAATAACAAATCGGAAACGTTTATGAATTGAATCTGTTTCGATCATATATATATATATATATATATATATATATATTACGAAATAGACTAAGCCCGAGAATTATTTTAATATATTTTATTGTTATACGTTATTTATATATGCACAAGTATTTAATTAAGTGTTCTGTTTATAAAGAAAAAAAACAGTATTAACAACATTTACCGGCCTGAATGTTTGAGAAATTTCATAGAAAATATGCGTCCTGCGACATGAATTTAACCTTTATCATCCCACTAGCAGCATGGCCCGGCGTTGCCCGTGCTTGATTCAAAAATCGTACGACCCATACAGCAATCGCTATCACTTTTTTTTGCCCTTCCTTGCCTTTAAAAGAGTGCCATTCGCCGTGCTGATGTTGCTACATGCCTTACTTCTTGCCTATCTCACACAGCGAATTTTTCTATGCTCTATACTAAACATTAAATCTGTTACGAAAAAAGAACTAAACAAAATGAACACAAAACAATCATCTTTAAAAAAGGACTCGTAACTGGAAAAACCGAATGAAAAAAGAATGTTAACAACAAATACTTTTTCACACCCAACCCAGTTCTGCGAAATCAGAATCAACGTTGAGTTTAAACAAGCGAATGAGCCAATTGGAGTAAAGTGCCATGCAGATTTAAATTTTCCCCACTTGTGACGAATGCAGCTATCGATTTTTTTTTGCATGCTACCATGCTAGTTAACATTCGTGTCAGTCGGCTGTTGGCTCTTACGCTGGCCAGTAGAATGGTCCTGCCTATTCGTGGCAGCCAGCTATTGGCTCTCAGTCTGGCCAGTAGAAAATGGCCGCAAACTACATGAAAACTGTCGTGGAAGCATGAAGAAATCGATTATTTCCATTATCGATGGGATTTGGGAAATGCAAAGTCGGTCTTGGCCTTCCCGCTAACTTGAGGCATGTGCATGTAAATTTTGGTGCAAATCTGTCGAAAATTGCGGCCGTGCATTCGCTACACACACACAAACACACACACACACACACACACACACACACACACACACACACATCCTGCCTTTTATAGATAGAGATACGGAACCGTGATATAGACTTCGTAACTAAACTGGTCAGGTATATAATGGTTTCGTGTAGGATACAGCTTGATTCCTGTTTACATAAAACCTGAATGTGCAAATTATATCAGCTAAACATTCAAAAAAGTCGCTGTGAACATATAGCGTGTGATAAATATGAATCCATATTTTAATCACAGAAGTTGCCAAAGAAGGATTCAATCTAAAATATCTGTCTCCAAATAATTCTGGCTTAAATGCAGTTCTTCGATGAAAAAAAAAATAATTCACTTTTTACAGAATCAAATATAGACATGAAATATAGATTAACTGTTTGATGAGGTTTAAATCGTTTTTATTAAATTCCAATGATAACATTTGATATCTTCATATTTCATAAGTCAGGATGTTTTTGAGTGGAAAGAATTCATGTAAAAGCAGGCATATGAATGAAGGAACACTCTGATCGGAAAATCAGTTGACAAAAAGTATTGCAGATGGTACCTTTGACCTATAGAGCCTAATGGTATTTTAAATGCCAAGAAGTATTTCAAATTTTCTCCCCATTAATCGTTCCAACCAAATGAATTAAATTTCCTTTTTTTGGTTGAGCTCACATTTTGTTTTAATAAAAAGAAAATATCTTTATTATAATTGAATCTAATAGACGTTATGAGACAAGTCTTAAAAATAGCGCATCTGTCCCATAAATGTTATCACATTTATATACATATTTGATAGAAATGTAGAAAACATTATGGGACAGGTGTTTTAAAAACACTATTAATGTCCCATAATATTTGGTATATTTTCATGCCTATTTGATACACCCAATGTAGAAAACATTTTGGGACAGGTGTTTTAAAACACTATCACTGTCCAATAATATTTGTTACATTTTCATGCCTATTTGATACACCCAATGTAGAAAACATTATGGGACAGGTGTTTTAAAAACACTATCACTGTCCAATAATATTTGTTACATTTTCATGCCTATTTGATACACCCAATGTAGAAAATATTATGGGACAGGTGTTTTAAAAACACTATCACTGTCCAATAATATTTGTTACATTTTCATGCCTATTTGATACACCCAATGTAGAAAACATTATGGGACAGGTGTTTTAAAAACACTATCACTGTCCAATAATATTTGTTACATTTTCATGCCTATTTGATACACCCAATGTAGAAAACATTATGGGACAGGTGTTTTAAAAACACTATCACTGTCCCATAATATTTGTTACATTTTCATGCCTATTTGATACGCCCAATGTAGAAGACATTATGGGACAGGTGTTTTAAAAACACTATCACTGTCCCATAATATTTGTTACATTTTCATGTCTATTTGATACACCCAATGTAGAAAACATTATGGGACAGGTGTTTTAAAAACACTATCACTGTCCCATAATATTTGTTACATTTTCATGCCTATTTGATACACCCAATGGAGAAAACATTATGGGACAGGTGTTTTAAAAACACTATCACTGTCCCATAATATTTGTTACATTTTCATGTCTATTTGATACGCCCAATGTAGAAAACATTATGGGACAAGTCTTAAAAACACGACTCCTGTCCATTAATACAGGTTGTCCAGTAAGTAGGCGGTAAATTCAGAAAGGAATTTATCTATCATGATTCATGCACAAAATTAACAATCATCGTAGATATTGGAAATGTTTGGCTGAATGATCAACACAAATTTGTAATCATGATAAACAGGAGACGGTAGCTTTGCGGATGGTGGCAAGAGAAATTTCATTTTAAACTTCAGTTAAATACCACTTCAATGAATCAATATGGACGATGTCACGACCACGGTTTTGTAAGTGAGATAGGAGTATACTCCAGATGCAATAACCCATAACATTCAGATCTGGGCTTTTAGATGGCCACTGATGAACTAATCACAGCTGGTGTATTTTATCGAAGAATACGTTTTCGCTTTTTTTACTGGACACCCTCTAGTTGCTACATTTGTATACATATTTGATACACACAATGTAGAAAATTCTATGGGCGTGAAATCTTAACACTAGCACTATTCCATAATAGCTGTTTATTTTGCATCAGTCAGTTATGTGCCATGCGTGATACACGCTTAGGCAATCATGTATCTTCCGATATATGACTGACGAGGCAGTTTTTTTCTCCGCAGTGGGTTGCCATTTCTTTCTGCGGTAGATCCGTTGCCATCCAAGATTATAGAACCCGGTCTGTCCTGCTATTTAACCATAGCTCGGCGGAGAAGAAGAGGATTTATATCTTTCCCAAGGGCAAGTAAGTGAATGTTATGGATTCGACTGGAATTTAAGGCAGCTGCTCGGATTGAGGAATCGGAGAGCAGAGTTCGAATTCCAGTCTGCCTCGTCAGTTACGTATCGAAGCATGCATGACTGCCTAAGCGTGAACCACGCGTCGTGCATAACTGACTTTATTTGGATACAGATTTGATACACACAATGTAGAAAATATTATGGGATATAGATCTTAAAAAAACAAAAACATTACAACTGTTCCATAACAGTTGATACATTTGCATGCATATTTGATATACAAAATGTAATAACAGATATTACAAACATATCTCATGTCCAATATTACTTGATACATTGGCATACTTAATTAATAGTCTCAACATATCATCTTTTATGGGACACATCTCTTGTCTTATTTGATAGATAATATTTTGCGTTTGGTATATCGATAAATTACATCGTAGATTTACTTATCGACTACGAATTACAAAGACTTTTTCAGATATAAGTAAAATGATATGCCTGTATACAGAAATAGTAAACGGAAACGTAGCAGACGATAAATTTGGCTTGGCAGAAGAATTCAGAAACCAAAACATATTCTTCTGCCAGAAACAGAATTAAATTTAGCAAAATAAATCAATTGCAGAATAAAACACTGATTACTTAGAAGTAGGATAAACGTGATCGCCCACTCACTAAAAGTGACATGGCACAGAGAGAAAGAGAGAGGAATGAAAAGAGAGATGGAAAGAGGGAGGAAAGAAGGAAAGAAGGGAGCGGAAAGAGTGAGAGAGAAAGATGACGGAAGAAGGGAGGTTGGGTGTGGGGTTTTAAGGGGAGAGGGGGAGAAACAGTGAAAGCGATGGGAATAAAGAGAGGTGAGAAAGGAAGGAACAGAAGGAGGAGAGAGGGGAGAGAAAGAAAAAAGTGAGAGATGGAAAGAGAGAGAGAGAGAAAGGGAAAAGAGAGAAATGAGCAAGGAAGGAGAGGGAGGCAAATAATGAGAAAGAGAGGATTTAAGTAATGGAAGAATGGAGGGAGGCGAGGAAGGAAAGAAAGAATGAGAGAGATGAGGAAGCAAGGAAGGGGGAAGGAAACAGGAAGTGAAAGTGTGAGAGAAAGACGGAGAGAGATGGAAAAGACAGAGAGAGGGGAAGGAGAGAGGGAGAGAAGTAGTAAGAGAGCTATGGGAAGAGAGACCGGGGAGGAACGAAGGAAGAAAGGAAGGGAAAGAGGAGAGTAAGAGGGCAAGAGAAAAAAGAAATATGGAAAGAGAGCGATGAAAGAAGGAAGGAGGAAAGAAGGAAGGAAGGAGGGAGGAAAGGAAGGAAGGAAGGAAGGAGGTAGGGAAGGAAGAAAGGAAGGAAGGAAGGAAGGATGGAAGGAAAGAAGGAAAGAAGGAAAGAAGGAAAGAGGGAGGGAAGGAAAGGAAGGAGGAAAGGAAGGAAGGAAGGAGGGAGGGAAGGAAGAAAGGAAGGAAGGAAGAAAGGAAGGAGGGAGGGAAGGAAAGAAGGAAGGAGGGAAGGAAGGAGGGAGGGAAGGAAGGAAGAAAGGAGGGAAGAAAGGAAGACAGATAGAATTGTGGGGTAAAAGATAGAGGTGAGAAAGAACGTGAAGGGTTAAGTGTGGGAGCAACGAAGGGGGAGAGAGAAAGAAAGCGGGTGGGAGAAAGTTGAACAGAATAGAAAATTGGATAGAGAGGAAAGGACGTAGGAAGTGTAAAAAGAGAAAGTGAATAAATGAACGAGAAAGAAAAGGAAGAGAGAGAGAGAGAGAGAGAGAGAGAGAGAGAGAAAGAAAGACTGAGATAGAAAATATGTAAGGCGACCTAGTTCTTTTATTTGTTGTATCCTTTCAGGACGAGGGTAAACATGGTTACCACACACACACACACACACACACACACACACACATATATATATATATATATATATATATATATATATATATATATATATATATACCCAAGTATATGATTGGTGTATGCGGAATAAATTACTAATCTTAAAAGAGTGCTCAATACAGAGTAGAGCAGATATAATTATTTAATAATTATAACATATTATAACATAATTATAACATATTTATGTTATAATTTTTTAAATAATTAATTATATATATATATATATATATATATATATATATATAAGGCAGGATGTGTGTGTGTGTGTATCGAATGCACGGCCGCAATTTTTGATGGATTTGCACCAAAATTTGCATACACATGCTCCAAGTTAGCGGAAAGGCCAGACCGACTTTGCATTTCCCAACTCCCATCGATAGTGGAAATAATCGATTTTTTCATGCTTCTACGGCACTTTTCATGTAGTTTGCGGCCATTTTCTACTGGCCAGAGTGAGAGCCAATAGCTGGCTGTCACGAATACGCAGGAAGATTCTATTGCCCAGCGTGGGAGCCAACAGCTGACTGACACGAATGTTATCTAGCAAGCTAGCATGCAAAAAATTCGATAGCTGCATTCGTCACAAGTGGGAAAAAATTTAAATCTGCATGGCACTTTATTCCAATTGGCTCATTCGCTTGTTTAAACTCAACGTTGATTCTGATTCCGCAGAACTGGGTTAGTGTGAAAAAGTATTTGTTGTAAACATTCTTTTTTCATTCGGTTTTTCCAGTTACAAGTCCTTTTTTAAAGCTGATCGTTTTGTGTTCATTTTGTTTAGTTCTTTTTTCGTAACAGATTTAATGTTTCGTATAGAGCTTAGAAAACATTCGCAGTGTGAGATAGGCAAGAAGTAAGGCATGTAGCAACATCAGAACGGCAAAGGGCACTCCTTTAAAGGCAAGGAAAGACAAAAATATTTCAAGTCAAGTGATAGCGATTGCTGTATGAATCAAGCACGGGCAACGCCGGGCCATGCTGCTCGTATATATATATATATAATTCATTAGAAGTAAATATATATAGAGATATATATATAATTCATTAGAAGAATATATATGTAGATGTATATATATATATAATTCATTAGAAATATATATATATATATATATATATATAGAGAGAGAGAGAGTAGATATAGTATAAATTGCTCTCTTGAGTGGTTTGTAACACATTATTCTGTTTCTGTTTTTGGCCGCGCACTCTCATTGCACGAGATAGATAGATAGATAGATAGATAGATAGATAGAGAGAGAGAGAGAGAGAGAGAGAGAGAGAGACAGACAGAGATCGGTGCACGCAACGAGGGCAGCGCGACCGACGGTTCGACGATTGTGGGGACTCGGGAATTTTTTTTCCTTGCCCTGTTGTACGCGCTCGGGCTCCTCATATTAAACTGACATTGTGTCACAACCTGACCTCGTGGGGGTTGGGTATATCCAAATTGCTATCTCGAGTAATTTGCAGCACACTGATACGTACCGGGCGCAGGTTAGTATCACGGCTATGACTATCTTAGACCGGCTCTGACCAGTTTGGACAAGCTAAGACCAGCGGCCCGAATGGAAAGACTCGGGTCCCCACGTTAAAAACTGACCTTGTGTCGCAACCTGACTCAGTGGTCAAAGTACAGAGTCGCAACTGAGGGAAATTATACTGAGAGGTGCTCAGCCCTAGAGAACAGCTGCCCAAGGCCGCGCCCTCTCACTGCACCAGAGAGAGGGATAGGTGCTCGTACCGAGGCTAGAGCAACCGACGGTTGTCGGGGCTGTGGGCAATTTTTGTTCGTAGCCCGTTTGTACGCGTTCAGGCTTCCCTTATTAAACCGACCTTGTGCCACAACCTGACCTCGTAGGGGCGGTGACTAAATACAAATTTCTAGAGTAGAGCTGGGCTTTTTTAATCTCAGAATTCGTGGGAGAATTGAGCTCCAATTTCGCATTTATAGATTCCATAATTAACGTTTTACTTAATTAGCTATTATGTTTCTCTAACATTTCAAATGTTGAATGTATAACTAATTCTAATTTCTATTTTCCCATCTTTACACTACATTAATTTTATCTGACGACCCTGAATCTGGGCTCAACGAAAATCGTTCCCTGCGCTTTCTCTAGGGCTTTTGTATGAGCTATGAATCATTGAAATCAGACCAGTGGGAGCGGAGGAGTTGCTTGGACACACGCACACACACACACATATACACTGTACTTTATATATAAGATATATGTGTGTGTGTGTCTGTACATAAAAAATTTGTCAAAAATAATTTGCCCTGCTGCATCATTGATAAACAAATAAAATTATCCTTACAAAAAATACACGACACCACATAAGAAAACATCAACATATTTTACGGTATCCAGATCCACAATAATTATAAGCAATAATTATATTCGCCATACGAAAAAACATTAAACACTATATTTCTAGTTCCCGAAAAACGTGTAAATTTTAATATATTACAGAAAATGACAGGCTGCAAACATTGCCCCATCAAATCTAAACTAGCGATGACCAATATAATGTATCAATTTCACTGCCGGGTACAATATTGTGATTCTTGTCATAAATCAATTACCTATATTAGACATACTAACACCTCCTTGTGTAGATGCCTCACGTGTCACTTATCGGAGCAAAGTGCAATGAAAAACATGTATCTACCCACAAATTATAAGCACGCTTTCGAAAATTATATATAAATCAAATTACCGAAAATATCTCGCATTAAGTGAGGCTTTGTATATTAAACATCTCTCTCCCACTATTAACCTCGCCTTGTTTAACAATGGGAGTGGCGTGTTGAAGGATTTTTTTTTTAACAGAAACACGCTGACTCGAATTCCAGCCGTAATCAACACGCGTGGCTTGGAATAAGCGCCCATACTAGTGTTCAAAACAACACAAAACTTATCCTCAAAACATGGAGAGAAACAAACAGTACCAAAAACAAAACCCCTTTAACATGGCTAAGGAAGTGTCCGAAAGCACTAGGGACAATGGACAGTATGGACACTTTTTGTACTCGCTCACTCCCACCAAACGGGAAAATGTTAGAATGTTGGATTTTGCTTGTCCGTCGTATTTAACGAAAGATCTTTAAAAGAAAGAATGCTGCCCAAACATATATTAACACACACACACACACACACACACACACACATACATACACATATATTTTTTTATTTCTTTTTTTTAAACGTTTCACCCCAAGCAAGGCGGGAAGCCACTAGAATGCAAGGGGTTACAGGAAATAGCAAGATCAGATAGGAGTGATAGAAGAAAGGATGAGGGTAGTGGATAGATTAAGGCAACTGGAGATGTCGATTGACATTACATTTGAATAGCTGGAGATTATAGCTCACAGGGAAACAGGAGAAGGGAAGGGAGTTCCACAGGCGAGAGGTGCGAGACATGAAGCTATTAGAGTAGAAGAGACGGCTACATTTAGGAGTTTCGACAGTGAAGGGGTGGGAGCGGGATGCCAGCCTCGTAAGGCGCTTGAACTCATGACGTCTGGCAACCAGCGAATGCAGCTCCTCGGAGCAATTTCCATGAAAGTATTTGTAGAACAGACAGAGGGAGGCGACGGCGAGTCTGTGAGAAAGTGACTGTAGACGAGACGCCAGGACAGGGCCAACCATATTGCATATCCGCCTCTGGAGCCTATCAAGAGCCCCGAGGCAAACAGAAGGGGCGCCAGACCATATATGGCAGCAATACTCCATGCAAGGGCGAATTGTGGATTTGTATATCTGGAGGATCGACTCAGGGGAGAAAAACTTCCTAGCGCATCTCAGGGAGCCAACTTTCCTCGCAGTGGACGAGGCAATTGACTCGATGTATTTATTCCATCTCAGGTCAGCAGTCAACGTGAGACCGAGAAGCCGCAGAGAGTTGCTCTCAAGAAGTTGAGCGTCTGACATTCTAATGGAGGGAAGGGAAGGCTCTCTGTGGTGATTAATAGAGAGCAGTTTTGTCTTCAAAGCGTTGAAGTTGACCAGCCAATTCATGCCCTTTTCGAGACGCACGGCCAGGTGAGTTTTGTCAGCGAGACTAGATTTGTTTTTGAGGCAGGAATAAATTGTGGTGTCATCCGCGTAGATGCCTACGTGGGAAGTTACGGCGTCAGGAAGGTCATTTATGTAGATAAGGAATAGAGTGGGGCCTAGGATGAAGCCTTGAGGGACACCTGCGTTCGTGGGATAGGAACTGGAGGAGAATCCGTTGAGAACGACCTTCAATTCACGGTTTGACAGGAATTATTGTATTAGGTTATATAATCGACCCGTCATAACCCTGGAGCTTGCGCAGAAGGCCGGCGTGACAAACCCTATCAAATGCTTTGGAGATGTCTAGTGCCACGGCTCGGGCTTCCCCGTTATTTTGGAGAGCTCGGTAGACTGTTTCAGTGATGGCTGTGAGCACATCGGCTGTAGATCGGGCAAAGCGGAAACCATATTGCTTGTCTGAGAGCAGATTATGGGATGTGAGGTGGTTAACTACCGCGGTATTGATTAGAGCTTCGAAGACTTTGCCGAAGAGGGGAAGGAGACTGTTAGGACGGTAGTTGGAAGGGTCAGAGGGGTCGCCGGAGTTCTTGAAGACAGGAACAATCGAAGAGGACTTCCAGCAGTCAGGAAAACAAGATTCCTTGAAGCAGTAGTGATTCAAGTTTATGAGCATTTCACCTACAAATTAAAAATAATTTACTGGATTTTCAGACCCATCAGGTTAATAAGAAAAAATAAAATGAAACCTTTACATGATGTGTGTCTACATGATAAAATTTTAAAATCTTACTGTACATAACCCTAGCATTGTTCACTTCACAAGAAACATTTACTTTTCAGATGAACACAACAATTTTATATGAGAAAAATGATGAACACAACAATTTTGCCTTAGAAAAAACAAGACCCTGAAGATGACATTGTGCTAATGTCGAAAGTACTTGGAATAAAATGAATATGCATCAACATGGTAATTTTCATTCTTCCTTTAATAAGGATACTAAGAAAATTGTTCGTAATTACGAGACGATCCTATTAAAAATAAATTGACAAATATTGCCTAAATTATTTAATTGGACATATATATATATATATATATATATATAATTATTTATAAAAAAATTATAACATAAGTATGTTATAAAATCACTACAAAAATAGCCATTTTGTTTCCACACCCTCGGTGTCTTATCAAGTGATGATGTTGAAAATAAAATAAATGGTTTTAAAAGTTTCATTAACGATCCTACACTAGGGGGAAACATTGTTACAAAAGCTAGAATAACCAATCAAAAACCAAGTATAGAAAGATTCAAAAGCTTGGCAACGAAATCATGTTATAATAGCTATTCAGATCTTTAAAATACGGGTAATATTAAAAAATAATTTATACTAACCAATAATTATAAAATTATATGATAAAATTTAATATTAAAATTAAAAACTGGCAATTTTAAAATCCAAATTTAATCACTATTAAGTTTAAAAACTACAAAATTATTGAGAAAAGAAAAAATATATATGTTTATTCAATTCATTTCTTCATTGAAATTACGTTCGACAAGACAAGACGCTACAATACATCCGGTCATTTGACAATACATGTATATATATTTTTGTAGAGATTTTATAACATACTTATGTTATAATTTTTTTTTATAAATAATAATTATATCTGCTCTACTTTGTATTGAGCACTCTTTTAAGAATAGTAATTGTTGGTTATTGAAATTCATTCCGTATATACCAATTATATACTTGTATATATATATATATATAGGGAAGAGATTATAGTTGAGAAAAGTGTATATTTTAAAAAGAAGATAAACTGAAAAAGTTTTGGGTTGAAATATGATTTTTTTTATTTTGAAATATATATTATTCTCTATTTTCTATAATTCTGCTGCACGTATGTCTAGTTTGACGTCAGCATATGCACGTAATGACCAAATACAGTAGTCGATTCTGTTATGCTGACATAGAAGAGTTCTATGCGACGATAACGGTCGCGAAATATCAGACGCAAATCGTAAATTCATAATACTGTTCTATTACGTCATACCACACGAGAGAACGAAATATTAACAAGAGAACTATATGCAATATATATATATATATATATATATATATATATATATATATATATATATATATATATAACCTCTAATCATCAGTCCAAGAAAGACATTTGAATCCCTACCACGCAAAAAATTCATTTTTATGTTATGTAGAAATATCTACTCTTTGCTTGAAGAAGGTCGAGAAACCAGAAACTCGTATAGCAGAATTATAGAAAATAGAGTATAATATATATATTTTAAAATAAAAATTCACACGTCAACCCAAAAAGTTTACGATTTATCTTCTTTTTAATATATATATATATATATATATATATATATATATGAAAGGTGTTCCAATGACCGATTTTAAATGTCTTAGCGTGTAAGGATTTTTCTTTTTCTTTCCAGGTTTGTCGGACATTTGGTCGATATTATTTTTCACACATAATTGCCATGACTTAAATAACATGATCCAATAGAGAAATAAATAAAAAAACACTGATTTATTTACTGCTGACTTTGATCCCTCTTAATGAAACACCCTTTATATATATATATATATATATATATATATATATATATATATATATATATAAGTTAAAGATCAATTGCAGATCAAATACGGATTAGAACCCGACAGAATGGTTTGACAAAGAATAAATAGGAAACGCTTATCAACAGACACAATGAGAGAAAAAAACAGTTCCAGATTAAAGTGGAATGTCATCCCACCGCCCCGGCTGACAGCACAAAAGTGTAGGCATTAGAACTCCTCCTACTAGACAGACACATATAGACAATTACGAATACACATTACCATTCGATGCCTGCTTAGACATTCTAGAATTTTTACGAACATACATACGTATAGAATTATCTCTCGTTTTAATGCACGTGATACGTGATTAGCCAATAGGAATTGAAACAAACAAAACTGAAATTACCAAAGTTCTGTCTTTTATCTCTGAAAACTCTGAGGAAGATTTAATAAAAATGAAACATGTTGATATACGTTTCCTATTTATTCTTTATATTATCATATTGATATTTATGGAAACTGAAGAAACACCTGCTACCGAGGTATAACTAACTTATAAAAGAATCGGCTCAAACCATCAGAGAGAAATAAGAACCAACATTAAATTTCGGGCTAATATATCAGTCCATAAGACGGTCAACCCTTCAGCATGTCCCTCGTGTGGACTTTTTGGAAAATCCTGTGAAGGATTGTTGTAGTCTCATACGAGACATAAACATAAAAACTGAACTGGAAAAGTATTTACATTAGTCGGACTATTGTCCTCATCTTTGTCGCCATATTTGTCACAACGTTTCGGCCGTTGTACGCTCCGGCCTTCTTCAGGTGGTTGGAATTTCGAACTGAACCCTTTATTTCGATCACTGGGGTAGACTGCTCTAGTTCCACGTGCCATGTTTTGATGGATGTCAGTTATCAGTTATCTCCTGCTAATTTTCCTCCTGAAAGTTCTCCACTGCCTTAACCAGGTATTGAACTCACCTTCTTTGGGTCTGTCACTGGATCTAACCAACGCCTTTATCCACTGTGCCATGTGTCCTTGTGAAAAATATGGCGACAAAGATGAGGACAATAGTCCGACTAATGTAAATACTGTACATAATACCTCATCTCAGAAATATAGACAGACTCTGAACTTGAAAACACTCATACGTTGGAAACGACAGGAGAGTCCATTATATATACATACATCTACATATATATATATATATATATATATATATATATATATATATATATATATATATATATATTGCGTGTGCGTGTGTGTGTGTATATGTTCAGTTGCATGGATCACAAACTCATTTCCATACAACTGAATATGTTAGTTCTATCACTGATATTGAGCACTTTCCAATAAGTACCGTGCATATATATATATATATATATATAGTTTTAAGGTGTGCTGTATTTATGGGATAAAGGGCTCAATATCAGAGATAGGGCGTATGCAAATATGAAAATGAACATTTAGGTGACAGACTGTTTCATGCTAGACACAGTCACCAAAGCCTGATGATTGAAACTGTCTTCTCTGAGTGTTGACTTCAATGTTCACGTAATAAATACTGCGCCTCAAGAGGAAGCAGGGTGTTCCCTCTGAAGTCTGATGTGTGTGTGTGTGTGTGTGTGTACACACACACACACACATATATATATATATATATATATATATATATATATATATATATATATATATTAATGCATGTTTCATTAAATAATAAGTTTTGCCTATTTATTTTAAGAAAATTCCTTTCATATCGTCTGATAAAGAAAATCACCATAGTGATACATGTTTTTTTAATCGTATCTATCTATCTATCTATATCTATCTATCTATCTATCTATTATAATAAAAATATTTTTTTTGTTATAACATTTTGTTATAACATTATTTTTTTATTATATATATATATATATATATATATATATATATATATATATATTCATGAATCATTCATACAAAAAACAAATACAGAGGTTAATAATTTAAATGGCGAGAATACATCTGACGCAAACAATATAAATAAGATACATCAACCCCGAACCTGTATATGAATGATATGATCCCTGTTTATAAATTCCAGTTGCATAAAGTCATTTTAATTTTTTACAAGCTTTCGTCTGTTCCTACAGACATCATCAGGTATGGAAGTAGATGTTCTTGTTTTTACTTCTCAGTAATAAGAGGACAACGAAAATAGAGATGTAATCCGAAAAAATGCTATGAGAAATGTGTTATTGTTTTGGAACGTGCGGTCGCAACGCTGAGTTTGAATTTAAATTTTAAGGTTCTGCGTTTTTGTACTAATATAGCAATAAGAGAATTCTTTTTTACTGGTAGATTTTCCGTGAATATGGCATGAACTATATTGTTCAATAATTACAGGAATGTCACATCATTATCCGAGAGTTGCACGTTGGATCAGTTATTTTAATTTCAATTAAAAGGTGCAAATATAATTTATAAATTCCTGAATCATTCATACAAAAAACAAATATAGAGGTTAATGATTTAAATGGCGAGAATACATCGTCGCAAACACATAAATAAGATACATCAACCCCGAACCTGTATATGAATGATATGATCCCCGTTTATAAATTCAACTGAAAATTAACCGTTTATTATCATCTAGCCCCCAGGTATTTTTTAATACCGTGAAATTAGTCATAGTAATGAATTTATTAAAGTAATGATAATACTAAAATTAATCAGTGATACTATCACTACTAAAAGAGCTATAATTGTTAGTGGAATTAAAAAATGTAATTTCCTGAAAAACTGTCTTGAGAGAGAAAACTGCATCAATTTCAACCGACAGTAAGACTAGCTATTCGGTCAATGAATGGCGAATATCCTCCACACTATCGCTTAGCGCCGTGTTCGCTGGCAACGTTGCCTTCCTGCCACTACCTGATGACCAACCTATCAGATTCATCTACCAGTTCGATCCGCCATTTGCATACTGGCGAAGACAACGTGGCAAGCGACGCAACAAGATAAGGATCCAAAACACTCTTCTAAATTTTGTTTGAATTGCCTCGAGTCAAAAAAAGTAACAGAATTTTGGAAATTATGATTTGGTTACCTCAATCTCCTGATCTCTCTCCCATTGACGAAGAATGGGATGAATTAAATAGGTGTGTTCGAAGAGAATACCCAAAGCGTGTGAGTGAGCTTATTCAGTGCTTGAAGAATGCTTAGGAAGGTCTGCTATCAACTTGCTTAGTTTTTAGAAGGTATCTTTCGCTATCCCAGTGCGTCTACGGATTTTAGTGCCCTCTGTTAAAACACTTCCCAGATATTTAAATTATTGTACTTGTTTGATTTTGGTATCTTCAATTATTAATTTGCATCTTGGACTGTTTCTTTTTGCTGACAGCCACGTATTCTGTGGTCAGCTTTTGGAAGATATCTTTCGTCATCCCAATGTGCCTTCGGATTTCTGTGTCACACTTTCTGCCCTCTGTTAAAACACTTCCCACATATTTAAATTGTTGTACTTGCTTGATTTTGGTACATCCAATTCGTAACTTGCATGTCGGGTTATACCTTTCGCTTTCATACAGTATTGTCCCATGGTGGGGAAGTGTTGATCAAAAGGTTCGTAAGTGGCAACTTTAATGTGCCTCGATGGGGGAAAGGAGTTGGAATTTACGTTTTAAGCAAAATCAATAAAATTTTCCACAGACAATCATGGGATTTACCACAACGACGGGCTGACAGTTGTATCCACTAATAGAAGAAAAAAAAACGACTCCATAAGGAAAAAGTTGCATCAGATATTCAAGTAAATGGATTTTGACCTCACAGTTGAGATTAATAAAAAGGTGGTGTAATTCTTGATTATTGAGGTGAATTTGTTGGATGGAACTAGTTTCCTCATTCATAAAACCCGAATTTAAAATGCGTAAATACTGCATCTAACCACCCATCAAGTGTTATTAAGCATTTGCCGCTTGATGTGCAGTGTAGACTATCACAAAACTCTTCGAATAAAGAAATATTTAATGAAAAAAAGGATTAAAAGAGAAGAGGCATAGCACTGGCCTATATTTCAAGAAACGAAACCAAACATCGATATTAGTAATAGAAGAGAAAGGAGAAACGTCGTCTGGTTCAATCCACTATTTAATTTGCATGTTAAAACTAATATATGGAAGATCTTCTTTAATCTTTTCATTAAGCACTTCCCCAAAATGTATAAATTATTCAATAAAAGTACAGTAAACTTCAGTTATTGCTGAATTTGGAATTTAGACAGAATAATTAAAGGATTGAACGATAGAAATTCAAACTGAGAATCAAAGATGTGAAGATACGGCCTTGTGTAATTGTAGGATTAAAAATAAATGCCCTTTAAACGGGAAGTGTTACACTGAGGGAGTAGTGTATTGTGCAAAGGTAGAAAGTAGCGATGGCAATGTGATAGTATACATTGGTTGCACGGATGGCCAATTAAAAAAAAAATAGATCGTATAGTCATAGTTCCTCTTTCAGAATATCAAAACCTAAGTCTAGCTAAGCATTATTGGTTTTTTTTTTAGAGAGATTCATAACAGAAGCCCTGCCACTGAATGGTGTAAACTGAGAAAAATGAATAATCGTAAGCTAAACGGCATCTTCTGTAGACTTTACCAGGAGGAGAAGTTGGCTATTGCGACTTATAAGGTTGTAGCAGAAATATTAACTGAAAGAACAGAGGTCATGACAAAATGTAACACAAAAGGAAGTTATACTTAGGCATTTACGAAACCGGATGAGGTTGGATGATCTATTTTCCATCCTCCTCAACTACAGCCGATTACTTTCGGTGTAACATTATCTTCAATTCGCTGCATTAGCACCTGAAGAGAACTTGGCGGTCGAAACAGCGGCCGCGTTTATATCCATAAATTTTATTACCTATATATATATATATATATATATATATATATATGCACATTAAGGAATTGTATTCCTGATCAATCAAAATTCGTAAATAATTATATAGGCCACACTACAACATGTTTGACACACAGACTCACTCTACACCTTTCTGACCATAGCTCAATTAGATCTCATTTAAATATTCATAGAAACCTACCGGACACTATTCAGAACATAATTGTTGACCACACTAATATAATAGCATCATCTACATGCAAAATGGCTAAAAATAATGGAAGCTTTATTAATAAAAACAAACAAAACAACACTTAATAATATTAACTTTGAACATGGACATAATATCCTGACAGTGTTTTGAAAAATGAAAACATTTTATAAAACATATATACAACAAACTATTTCTTATTTTAACAGTTTAAATATAATCCTTGAAAATGGCTAAATGTATAGCCGAAAGCGCTCGGATAAAAAGAACATTCGGACAGTTTTTATACAATTTATCATCCGAAAAGAAAAAATTATTAGATCGCATGAGAAATTGTATAAAAAAATAAATAAGGGTACCTTGTCTGTCGTTTTCAATGAAATGTGCATGAAAGAAGGATTGCTGCCTAAACACACACACACACACACACACACACATATATATATATATATATATGTTCATCGAGTGTAGAAGAAACCTCAACCGGATGCACTGGACGGCCGTTTCGTCCTCTATTTCGGACTAATCAGCAGTCCGCCGGCTACCGAGAATTGATTATGTTATCAGGCGAACGTCATACGAACTGTTCCAACAGGGCCTCGTTGACGAAGAGGTAACGAATCAGCCTTGGGATAGCGCCACTCAATCCCATATTCCCTGGTGGAACTCATCCGAGCTACTCTTTTACCCACAGGACTGTGCCTTCTCGAGCTACTTCTACTAACCCCAAGGCGCTCAGTCCAGAGCATTAGAAGCCGGTTCAAGCAAGGATATAATGTAATAGAAATTAGGAGGATGCGAGATAATTATAATTAAGTAAATTTACTTAATTATAATTATCTCAAATCTTCCTAATTTCTATCATATATATATATATATTTCAAGTATAGATGCAATTCAATTTAAAATTACATGAATCATTCATACAAAAACAAATAAAGTTAATGATTTAAATGGCGAGAATACATCTTCGCAAACAATTTTAATAAAGTACACTAACCCCGAACCTGTATAGAAATAATTTGTCATGTTGAATTGATAATGTTAATTATATTTTAAGAATATGTCCTGAAGATGGTTTATTAGACCGAAACGTAGATTTAGTTCTTTTTGACATATTAACAGACAAAACAGCATAATTGTATATATGGTTATTTTTTGTTTGTTTTTTCCGTATATTTTTAAGATATATACATATATATATATATATATATATATATATATATATATATATATATATATATATATATATATAATTCTTACGTAAAATGTATTGTTCTATTTGTTAGCATGCCGTTTAGAATCTGTACATCTATGATTGATTCGTTTTTATGAACGGCTTATCAACCCTTTGCAGAAAATATATATATATATATATATATATTTTTGATTGTAAGAATTATCTTTTAGTGGGGGGAAGATAAGAATGATTTTTGGATTCAACTCTTACTAATTAACCCATAGCTGGAGTAGAAGAGGTGAATTCATTCTTTTCTCAAGGGTATTTGCGCTAAAGTGAATCTAACAAACCCAGCGGGAATTCGAACTTGGATCCCCGGTTAACAATTCCGAGCCATTATCCAATGGACCACGCACACATCCAAGCTCCTGCTATTTCCAAACGCTCTCCCGTCTCAGTACTGTCCAAACCCCGACGTTTTTTTAACTTCAGTGATCAGATGTGAACTGATGTTTTAATGTAGCCGTAAGCCTTAAAACGACACAGAGATATTGATCTATATAACTGTCAGTAATCCGGTAAAATAGTTTATGTGCCGGATTAGTGATGGTTAACCTGTATTTGATCCAACCAGAGCAACCGAATCCATCGTTCGTTCACACTTAATTCTGCCCATTCCAATTTTAGCAAATTAATGTCGTTAATTATGTCCACACGTGATTCCACTATGAAAACTGAGGTCAGAGGTGATATGTTTAATATTACGTAATGAAAAAATTAAAAAAAAAAGTATTGCATCAAAATCACTCTTTTTTCCGCCACTGCACTCAATACACTTATCGATTAAAAAAATCAAAGTCGTTT